GCCCATAGAAGCCTGCAGTATTGCATTTCAAGGCTTGAATATTTTCATTAGTGTTTTCAGCTTGAGAAATGCCGAGTGTGCTCTTCTCTTTTGCTTCTCTAATTCCATGTATTTTCATATTTTGTAACAATCTTTTGTCTTCTCAAGCTGCCCTTTGAAATATTTTTCTCAGCTCTTTCATATCATCACATCATTTCTTCTTTTCACTTAGTTTCTCTGTGTTCACGAGAAGTTTCCAGAATCTCTTCTGGCATCCATTTTGGTCTGTTCCGTCTTTTTTAGTGCTCCTTAGCTTTCGTTATGTGTGATATTATGATGTCCTTGATTTCATCCTACAGTTTGTCTGGTCTTTGGTCACTAGTGTACAGTGAATCAAATCTATTCTTGCGATGGTCTTTAAATTCAGGTGAGATACACTTAAGGCCATACTTTGACTGTAGTGGAATTTTAATTTTCTTCAACTTCAAATGAGCAAGTGATGGTGTGCTCTGCAGTCAGCTCCTGGCCTTGTTTTGACTGATAATTTTGAACTTTTTCATTGTCTTCTTCCACAGATGTAGTTGATTTGATTTCTTTATATCTTTCTCTATAGCCACCATTTATGCTGTTGAAAAAAAATAGTTTCATTGAATAAGTAATTGGCCCTGCAAAATTCTATCATGTGATTTCTGTAATCATTTCTATCACCAAGGCCACATTTTTCAGCTACTGAGCTTCCTTTGTTCCCAACTTCTACATTCTTTCTGATCACCAGTAATTAATGATGTATATGGATTCCATGTTTGATCAATTTTAGACTGCAGAGGTTGGTAAGCTATTCAATGTTTTCGTTTTTGGCATTGTTGGCTTGTACTTAAATAAGAATAAACATTTAACTGGTCTTTCTTTTCCTCTCACTGACATCATTGTACTTCAGGATAGATCCCAACATGTTTGACAAGGAATGCAATGTCGTTCCTCTTCAATTTGTCATTACTGGCCTAGAAGACCGTATAATTGTCTGGTCCTAGCTCACCAATACCAGTCCATCACAGTTCAATAATGCCTAGGATATTGACCTTTAAGCATTTCATTTTATTTATGACATCTTTACATTTTATTAGATGCATACTTCATACCTTCCATGTTTGATTATTAGTAGATTGTGCAACTATGTCTTCTCATTCTGAGTTGAGCTACATGGACACATGAAGGTCCTGAAGGGGACTCTTTCCCATCAAGCTTCGCTCCCCTTTGAGGAGGCAGATTTCCCCAGTTGTGTCTTGTGTGCTCTCCAACCTGATGGGCTCATCTCCAGGGATGACATCAGACAGAGGTCTTCACTGGCCAAGGTTTTAAAAAGTACGTTGTCAGGTCATTTTCCCTGTGTGTCTTAGTCTGGAAGCTCTCTGAAACCCGTCTCCTGAGGGGGACCCTGTTGACATTTGGAATACTGGTGCCAAAATATTACACAAATTGACACAGCAGTATGCCGTAGGACAACAAACTGACAAGATAACATGCGAGACATCAATTCTCCTCTGTAGTTTTCTTCAGCAACTTATTTCTAAGAACTTTATTTTCTTTACTTGTGAAATTAGCAATCTCCTCTCATTGAGTGGCTGTTAAGATTAAATATGCTAATCCAATTAGAGGGTTTTATTTCACTGCCTTTATGTCAAAAGCTTTCAGAGAAAGTTTACATTGTTCTTGTTATGGAGGCTGATCATTTACTCTGGGGAAAAACAGATTCTCTGTCACACGCACGCACACCTTAACAAATATATCAGGAGGTGTTTAATATGTGCCATAACTGATTTATTTTAAACACTCTCAAAGATTAAATCATTTAATTCTCATGACAATCAACATATAATAATAAGTAATTGAGTTACTTATTATTGTGAGTCCCATTTTACAGAGGAAGATACGGAGGTCTAGAAAGGTTAGTAAACAGGAGATCCAGGATTCAAACTCAGACTTTTGGAGCCAGGGTCTGCTCTTTTCCACTGTACTTAGGTGACTGGTGATCCTTGTGAGTGCACGGTCCATTCAGACCCCGCGAGTGGCTATGTGACCATTGCATTTTTTGTTTGTTTGTTTTTATGTTGGCTGCAAAAGCCAAACAAAGCTTATGATCTGCCCTACAGTCTGCCTTATAGCACAACAGAGTTAGACTGCCTATTCTTCTAGGAAGTGCATTCGATTTTCATGGCTCCTTCCTCCCACGTGGGGAGCCGAGTCCCTCTTCATTGTCTGTTTTTAGTCTGGAAGCTCCACTGAAGCCAATTAATTTGGGGTGACCCCGCTAAAATGTGAAATCCCAGTGACATAGCACCCAGCATCACAGCAACACATGAGCCAGCGCAGTCCGACAAACTGACGGATAGTGGCAGTGCTGGAGAAGAATATTAAAAGTACATTGGACTGCTACAAGGACAGCCCAAGCTGTCCTGGAAGAAATGCAGCCAGAGTGCTCCTTAGAGGCGAGGATGAGACTTTGTCCTGCGTACTTTGGACGTGTTGTCAGGAGAGACCGGTCTCTGGAGAAGGACATCATATTCGATAGGATGGAAGGGCAGCAAAGGAGAGGAAGGTCCTCAAGGAGATGGATGGCCACACTGGCTGCAAAAGTCAGCCCAGGCATTCCCGACCGGGTGGTGTTTTCTTCTGTTGTGCATACGGTTGTGTGGGTCGGAACTGACTTGGTGGCACCTCACAGCAAGAACAACCATTCTAGGCCAGCATGCCTGTGTGGGAGCCGGCCCTGGAGAAACACTTCACTTGGTGATCGTGGCTGGGGTGGGTCACCCAAGTTTTGGAGAGCCCTACGTTTCTTCCTTCGTTTTAGGGTGGGGTAGAAATGTACGAAGCAGTGGGCAAAGACGGGAATATCATCATTATTGGTAGTGTGGTGATCATCTTTAATGGCTGGTTCAAGTTTGAGGATATATGTGCGCCTTTGGGTCTTCTGGAAGACTCTCGAAAAGCAAGCCAGAGTTGCTGTGCTGTAGCCTCAGGCATGGGAAGCAGTGCAGGAGGAGAGGCCCATCACCCACGCCCTCACTAACTTGCTGGCTGCTCCTGGCAATATCCCAGGATCGATGAAGATGGCCTCCATCAGGCCCCAGAAAGTCCTTGTTGCAAGTGTGGAGAAGGCCCACATGTGGCAGACTCTGGTGGCAGATACATGCCTCTTTGACATGTATCTTCTGGCGGCAGCCCTCAGCCGTGAACCTGGGGTGAATGCCTTGCCCCTAGAGCTATGATCCGTCTCGCTTTTTTTATTATTATAATTTTAAGTGCTTTTCTTGGGGGCTCTTATATCTCTTATCACAATCCATACGTTCATCCAGTGTGTCAAGCACATTTGCACGTATGTCACCACCATCATTTTCAAAGCATTCTCCTCCTATTTGAGCCCCTGATATCAGCTCCCTATTTCTCCCCCACCCACCCTCCCTCACGAACCCTTGCTAAGTGATAGATGATTTTTTCCGTATCTTACATCATCCTATTACAGTCTGTGCCCCTCAGTTAAGCCCCAGGTGCCTGGTCACTTCCTTTGGGTGTTGGTCTGAGTCAAGTGCCTCCCTTGGGACCAAGACCTGAGTCCAGCTACTCTCCTTCTGGCCCCCAAGCTGAAGCTGCTTCAGCGGAACACCAGGCTGAGCTGTCCACGCAGCAGGAATGCCTGGGGAGGTTATGTATCCAGATCCCTCAAGGAGCTTCCAGCAGCAATCTGGAGAACATGGTGTTTCAGATCCTGGGTCTGAAGCAGAATGAGAAGAATCACGCCTTTCTCACAGTGGAGAGGGAATCTTGGTAGCTGAGAAGCCCAGCAAATGACAGGACAATGGCATTTTGTATAGAGATTTTGCTTTCCCTGCTCGGGATGTCAGTTTGTTTCACCAAATGTTTGCGTGGCAAAAAAAGGGGGGAAACATCACCTCCCTTGGCTGTGCAGAGCAGTTATGAGAGAGTTACCGCCCTTGCGCTGGGAGATGGCACAATTGCTTTTGTTTTGCAGAGAATTCCCCGGGGTCTCTTCTCTGCCAGTGAGGAGCGTGTGCACCTGAGCACTCAGAGTGCAGATGGCCAGGGACCTGCTGCTTAGCCAAGTGCAGCGAATGTGGCAGTTATGCACTGCTCTCTTTGGAGACCCTTCCGGAGTTATTTGTTGGCGTCGACGTTTCTCCCCTTTTACTATTCGGCACTTGATAGTCAGATCGACTAATGGACGATTGCCAAAAGTGCCTCCCTGCCTTTGCTTGGCCTGGTCCCCTGCCTGAATTTCCTTTCTAGGTTGGCTTTGCAAAAATCCTGCCCATCCTTCAGCCTCCAATTCACGTATTAATGCTTCACTAATCTTTGCCCCAGAAGTTGATCCCCCCCCCCCCACCCCCCGGCTCTTGAGCTCTGATATAATTTTATATGTCCGTCATGACCCTTATCTAATTCTGCCGTACACAATAACTATTTATGGGCAAGCTCCCCTGCCCCCATTCCTTGGTAACTTTGTGTGGAAAAACTCTCTTGTACATCTTAAAGTTCTTTACGAAACTCAAAATAGGGTTCTGTACCTAGTCTATGCCTCCTTTACTGAACTGGAGCAAAAGGCGGTCCCTAAGGGCTTGTTCCCTTACAGAAAATAAGCAAAGCTAGGCCCGGAGGAAGTCATAAAGCAATACCAGAAAAATAATCAGGCATCCAAGGAGGAGACGGCAGCTCTTAGGCATTGGGTCACGTAAGAGTCAAAAGATTTTTTGAAGTAATTTTTGCATAAGATGAAGATGCTGATGCAGAAAATAGTCGCCATTCAGATGTTAAAGAAGAATGTGTGCCATAGAAACAGAATTCCCCTCAGCTTGGGCTTCCATTCCAATCCCCACAAGCCTGAGAAAGCAGCACGGAGGGTAAACAGGTGGTGTGTGTAGTTCCTACTTGTTCGTTTGTGTAGAAAGAGAAATGAAATGTCCCTGGAGGCCCTAACGCTCCTCTTTTTCTTCTTTTTGGTTCAGCCCTGGACCCATCCAAGGACCCCTGCTTGAAGGTGAAATGCAGCCCTCACAAAGTGTGTGTGACCCAGGACTACCAGACGGCGCTGTGTGTCAGCCGCAAGCACCTGCTGCCCAGGTGAGACCACCAGGGTGGTGGCAGGGGCTTGAGGAGCACTAGCAGATTGAGTTGGGGGGGGGCGGGACTCTCTGGCTGGGGTACAGAGGGAAAGGGGGTTGCATAGGGTTTATTTTATATGGCATTTGGGGTCTGTGTTCCAGCTGTGGTAGGAGTCTCAGTTCCTAACCCAGATGTTGATCTCTGTATTTCCTTTCAATCAGCTTTGCTTTGACCCTGAGGCCCCGTCTGAGCCGAAAAGCAGAAGACCCCTTCCTGTTCATTATTGGGGCTTCTTTTCCCAGAGTGATCTCAGAACCCTGCAAACTTACATGTAGGAAAATGGAGGCTAAATCTTTAGGCTCCTGGTTGCAATTGTCCTTTGGGGTGTCTTGAGGTCTGGGGGCTCTCTACTAGGCTGTGCACCCGGCTTGAGGGGCTGCCTCCCCAGGCCTACCATAACAACATAGCCTCTGAAAGCCCCCTCTGGTGATTTCCTCAGGATGTGGCACCGGATATCAGTACTTCCCAACCCAGAGGGATGCCCCTAGGCTCATCTTGAGAGTCCTTATAAATCTTTATCTCCCAGCCCTGACCCATTCAAGCATTATGCATCCAGCTGGTTTAACCAAAAAACAAACAACTAAACCCACTGCTTTTGAGTCAATGCTGACTCCTAGAACAGAACTATTCCATAAAGTTTCCAAAGATGCACATCTTTGTGGCAGCAGACTGCCGTCTGTCTCCTGCACAGCAGCTGGTGGGTTAGAACCATTGCCTTTTCAGTCAGCAGCCCATAACCCACGTCATCACCTGGGTTCCTTCCAGTGGGTTTGGGCTTCTACAAATGAGGGCAAGTGCCACTCTTACCTTCAACCACTGCCCTCGGGTCCATTCTGACTCACAGCGACTCTAGATGGAGTTTCCAAGCCTTATTGTTTGTTTGCTTTCTATGTGTGTGTGCTTACACGCACGTGTGCGTGAGAGACTTTATCTGTCACACACACACACTCACATGGCCTAGACCAGCATCCTGGATGCATTTGGGAACTAGAGTAGTAGCTACAGATACCAGTGTACCTTCTCTTGGCCCCTGTCACCTGTCCTCTTTAGTCCTGTGACTGTTGGTTCTTCTTTGGCTTCAGCATCTTCACTCTGACTGGGAGGTGGGCAAGATTAAAAAAAAGCAAATTCTCTCCCAGATGATGTTCCCCATTCAGCTTGTTCATGCCTGTCATCCACACAAATAACTTGGATCACTTTTTCTTCTCCTTCCTGACTGCCTGGAGCAGCTGGGAATGCCTGAGAAGCCAAGGAAGCCGATCCAGGGTAGGGAGTTTGCTTCTAGTTCCACCCTTATCAAGGATAGCTACAACCTGCTTGGGCTCCTCCTTTATTAACTGTGCCTTGCAATGTGTGCTACCTGTCCAGCCACGGCCTACAGCTCAGATGGCTTGTGTTGGCTGTTCTCCGCCTCTATCAAGGAACTGGAAAGCTCGGTGCAGAAGTAGATGGTGGGCACTGTGCCCTCTCCTTCAACACCTATACATGACCTCCAGTTCCCTGTGTCCTGATTTAGATGAACTGTTTCATTCTTTGGCAAAGCTGCCTTGTCTAAAACTAGGTAAATGAATATGCAAAGAAGCACAAACCACATAAAGTTGCTTTTGGGAGACTTTCCAAATGTGTGGTCTCTTCCCCTGGAGGGCAGAGATGAGGAAGGAGAGAGAGAGAGAGACATGCTTGGGTGTCCTTATGAGGTAAGACTTTGGGGGTTAAGTGATGAATGGTGAATGCGGTGTAGAGTGGTTGGTACCAATTGTGCTGCCTCCCTGAATTCAGAAAACAGTCCCTTCTGGAAGTGCCAATTGTGCTGTCTCCCTGAATTCAGAAAACAGTCCCTTCTGGAAGTGCCAATTGTGCTGCCTCCCTGAATTCAGAAAACAGTCCCTTCTGGAAGTGCCAGACAAAAGAACTTTAGTTTTAAGCTGAAATATGTGTGAGACAGAGGCAGCGATCTCACTGGTATTCAGGAATATCAGGTGTAAATGGTGTTTTCAGGGCACACCATGCTGCTGTGTTGGAAGCACCAACACTTTTGTGATTGTGTTGACAGTGTAATCTGCAGCTCTCACATCTCCCACTGACCACAGAATTCTAGTGGCCACGAGCATGGATTTGAAGACCCCTACCCACAGCTACAACCAGGAGCATGGGTTTGGGAATGAGACCATCCAGGGCTCAACTTTCAGGCTGTCTACTTCCTAACTGTGACCTTGACCAGCTACTCCATTTGCACTTATTTGTCTGTAAAATAGGCTTAGTAAAAGCACTTGCTCCATTTCTCTTTTCCATTTTATTCTGGAAATCCATCACCTGGTAATTCTAATAGAGAGAATTTATGGTTAGTCTATTTTTCAGATATTTGCCTCGGATATTTTGTGTGAGAGAGTAATAGGATAATGTGCCTGAAGAGTATATTCTTGTATCTTAGAACACAATACGTATTTAAAGAGTGTCAACTGTTTTTCTAATTACTGAAATAATGACTATCATCGTACAGATGCAGATCGCCAGATCTTCCTTCCACGGTTGGGTGGATTGGAACTGTCAACCTTTATGGTCCGTAGTTGGGTATGAGCTGTTTGTGCCACACAGGGACTGGGACTTATGATGACTATGGTTATTGTCAATGCGATTCATCCTGGCAGGTCAACTGGAACCCCCCATGTTTGGATCTTCCTGAGAATAAAGTTAACTCTCTACACGTGTCCCTCCCCTCCCCAGGTTGATGGGGATTGCCTTTCCAGTTCCCACTAGTAAGCCCTTCAGGGTTAGCGTAAAGATTACAGTGTCATTTCTGTGTGGTTCTCTGTGGTTCACACCCTGAAAGAAATCTGAATTTACTGGAAAAATAGCCCAAAGAGGAGGTATAAAGTAAGGCAGCATGCCCACTCCCTTATCAGAATTTGGGAACCAAGGACAGCCCTTAGCAGCCGCTTAGTGCATCCTTCTTCAAAGGGTCTTGGACACTGCCCCAGATGAAACATCTGTTCTGTTCTTAGATAGTATATAAGTGTAATGTGGCAACATTATACTTCAGGGGTCCCCTCCAACCAGGGAGCATTGACAACTCTATTTATTCACCAATCAGGGAAGTAATCTGTCTTTCAGTGCAACAACTGTAGGCAATCCTGCCAGCAAATCTGGCCTCTGTAGCTGCTCTAGAGGCAAGTCCCGCCTGCCAGACAGTCAAGAACATGCGCATATGGAAAGGCTGCCTGGCCAGCCTTGGGGCTTATTAGGAGGCTGCAGACTTAGGCTGTATTTGCAATGATATTGAGACAGAAGGACAGTGAGCGAATTTCATTAGCTTTCCTTGCCCGTGGAGACTGAGTAAGTGGAGACGCTGCTTGACACACACATCTGTGACTGCTGAATATTGGGGGGGTGGGCGGGGGGGGCATGCAAGCAATCTCCATAGCTGCCACGCAGGGCACCTCTGCCTCCCACTGATGGACTTCTTCTTCTTTAGTAGGGCAGTGTTTGTGATTGGGGTCATAGTTGGTTTCAGCTAAAGTTTCAGCCAAATTCATTCTCTTAGGAAATCCTTTGCTTCATCTCGGCTGTTAAGCACTATTGAGTGGGGCTGGGAGAAGCTGGATTCTTGGTGGTGTGTTCACTTTTCAGGGACTTCAAAGGGAACATGTATACACCAAAGACAGTATGAGGCAACTGGAAATCTCTTTTTGATATTCTGATTTATTTTTGATATACATGATGTTGTAGTTAGATGCCATTGAGGTGGTTCCAGTTCATGTCAATCTGACATGTAACAGAATGAAATGTTGCTGCTCCTCTTACACAATCATGGTTGTTAGTATGTTTACTTCCATTGTTACAGGTAGTCTGAAGCTTATCCCAACCTAAGTGGCTAATTTTCTAGCACTATATTGGACAGTGTTCCTTTGTAATCCACATGGTTTTCATTGGTCACTTTTTAGAAGTGGATTTCTCAGCCCTTCTTCCTAGTCTCTCTTAACCTGGAAGCACCACTGAAGCCTGGCCACAGGGGTGACCAGGCTGGCATTTGAAATTCTGGTGGAAAAACTAGCATCATAGTAACATGTGAGTCATCATAGTACAACAAAATATTTATAAACAGGTAGGTGGTGGGATATAATGAGAATTGATATTTATTATAGAAAATGTTAGACCTTGAACTATTTATAGGCTTTTCCATTTTTGTCAGTGGCTTTTTTTTGGTATTGTTATTTTGTTTTTCATTGTTGTTGTTGTTTTGTTTGTTTCAACTTCCTTTGTTTTATTTTGCTTAGCCTGGTTTTTGCACTTATTAATGTATCTGCATGTCTATCTAGATAAGATAGGCGGGATAAATAATTCAGAGATGAAAAGAATGGGACCAATGGTTTCAGGGGGGATATGGGAGAAGGGGAGGTGGGAGAAAGGAAGGGGCGGGGAGTGGGGGAACCAAGCCAGGGACAAGGGAACAACAAGGGAACTAAAATCAATGGAAGGAAGGGCATAGGATGTCTAGTGGGGCTTAATCAAGGGCAATGTATCAGTGAGGAATTACTAAACCTGAATGAAGGCTGAACATGATGGTGGGACAAGAGGAAAGTAAAAGGAAATAGAGGAAAGAACCAGGAGGCAAAGGACATTTATAGAGGTCTAAATACAGGCATGTACACCGGTAAATATATATATATATAATGAGAGGGGAATGGAACTATGTACTCATATCTATATGTTAAGAATTAAGGTTGCAAATGGACGTTGGGCCTCAAATCAAGTACTCTCTCAACACAAGAACACTTTGTTCTAAAAATCGGCATTCTGTGATGCTCACCTTCCCGACACAATCGCTGAAGACAAAATGGGTGCATAAGCAAATGTGGTGAAGAAAGCTGATAGTGCCCAGCTATCAAAAGATATAGTGGCTGGGGTCTTAAAAGCTTGACAATAAATAAGCAGCCATCTAGCTGAGAAGCAACAAAGTC